CTGTGCTGTAAAGCCGACCGCCCTCCTTCCCTCCCTGGTTCGCCTGCCTGGAACGACCGACGCCTCTTTTTCATCCCGGCCCCGGAAACGGCTCTGGCGACAGTTGAGCCACCCTCCCGGCGGCTCCCTTGCCTGGCGCTCGGGGTAAAATGGCTGCGCTTCTCCCAGAAAGGTGGGGAAGCGAAGCGAGAGGTCTTTCGCGGACTGCCGCACTACGACTCCCAGCATCCCTCGGAGGGACCGTGCCGAGCTCTGGGAGTTGTTGATCGACAACATCTGGAACACTGGAGGGTCCTCCCCCCCCCCCCCCCTGCGCTGGTTGGAAGGAAGTCCGGCTGATGCGGAAAGAGGCGCAAATTTACATTTGAAAATGCGCGCTCCCCATCCAGGGACAGCTTCTTAAATTTGCATCTCTGCCTGTTATTAGTCTATTGGTCACTTCGCTGCAAGCAAGGGGCCGATGGGCCACTGAGCAGGGGTGACATTGAACCACCTAGGCCCACCTGGGGAGAGGTAGTGATGGTTTGAATCGGTAAAAAAATCGCCCCTGTGGTTGCTCCTAGCTGCTATTACTATTATACCAAGCCACGCCCAGAGCCGGTAGGGAAAAAAAAATTGAATTTCACCCCTGCCCCTGAGGACCTTCCTCCTCGTCCTAGTAGTTGCTCCGTTTCACTAGGGTCCGCGCTGCAAAACCTCGGATGACCGCTAGATAGCCACAAGGCTAGAGGACGCTTTAGCTGTTTGCTGCCACCTTGTGCTCCAGCTGATCTTTGCATCCCATATCTGGTGGCTCGATAGGAGCCCGTCTCCGTTGCATGCTCACAGGAACCCCTCTGAGGTGGTTATCCTTAACCCTGGTTCACAAAGTGGGATAGATCGCCACGTGGTTCCTTCAGGATTTTGAGTTATTTATTAATTAAATGTATTTCAATGGCAACATTACGATGCATGGTTTCAGGTCTGGAATATGAACCAGTGTGAATTGAAACATAGACAGTATTGTCCTTTCAACATACAATGTTTGTGCCTGTTGTCTTGTGTGATTCCAGCCAATGAAAAGAGGATAGCATCCCATTGCTTTCTATGGTATCTAGCAATTTCATTTTTTTGTTCTGTAGTGCTAATTGCTGGATTCCTGGGAATCATCTGTAGATTTAAAGATGGATACAATGGGACTCCGAGGAGAAGTGCTGTTTTCCCACATGGCGTTAAAGTGTAGGGTAAAAACTTTCAAGTCAAGCTTGACTAGTGTTGACTTTTTGGATCCATCCACATTAGCTTTCTTAGCTTCCCAACATTTTTGGATCCCCTAGTTTGCTGGGGGTGTCCCATTCAAATAGGATCCAAGCACATTTGCTTGTCCAGTTGAAGATGTGTGGACTTCAACTCCCAGAATTCTCTAGTGGCATGTTCCAGCCATTGAAGCATTCAAGCAATCTGGGTTAGCCCTGGACACTCTTCACAAGAGGAACAGTCAGGGGTCACTAAGACTTTCTCCCCCATAAAAGGACCAGCCTCTGACCTAATGGTACAACCCGAAGGATTCAAATGATTTTCAGCTATTTTGTGGACATTGCACAGACAATTTTCTCGCTTAGAACTTCAAAAGTCATTCACTGAAAAAGAATTGTTTCCAGATAGCACCATCAGCAGTGGAAAGAGGTTGTCTTGTCTTCACTATATACAATTCCAGTTTTGACTTAATATGCATTAAATATGTTCAGCTCTTTCCCTTTTTACTCTCAGTTCAAGTCGTTTTTGCATCTAGGAGCTCAGCAAAGCAATTCAAACCGCATTTCCCCTCGTTTTATCATGCTAGAAACAGTAGCACTTTAAGGTAGATTGGGTTAACGCAAGATGGGTGTTTCTCAACCTTAGCAACTTTTAAGAATGTGAACTTCAGTTCCTAGAATTCCCCAGGCAGCATGGCTGGTTAAGGGAATTCTGGGGATGGAAGTCCACACTCTGTAAAGTTGAGAAACATTCACCTCCTAAAGTCTTCCAGACTAGGTTTCTAAAATGTAACGTTTTCTTAACCGATGAAAGGAGGACGGCTGATTTTTCTTAGGTTGTCCTATTGGGTGGTATTACCGCCAGCTGCCCTTCTGTATTGTTGGTTGGACTATTCTCCCTACAACCCACAACCAGGAACTCATTGAAATGTCACGCTGCCAAGGATCAAGGGATACATAAGTTGGAGATGCGGCCTGTCCGTTAGGAGGGGAAATGAACGGAAAGAATTAATGGGCTCGCCATTATCGTATATTTGGCGACCTCATTGCGTGGCTTTCACAATCCCTGGGAGTTTCAGGGAGTTTCACAATCCTTGGGAGCCTGTGGGAGTTCTTATCCCATGCAATTGGGGTGGGGAGGGGCATCAGATCCGTGGAAGGCAAGGGCACGCGGAGCTTAATAATACTGCTCCCAGCCTCTTTCAAACGCACAGAGGACAATGGTGGGATGGAGTATTTGAGATTCGCGACAAAGCTGACCTCTGAAAAATTACAGAACTGCCTTATGTGCCGCCAAATTGTGGTCCGTTCTTAGCGACCACATGGAGAGATTTTCTTCGCGGTGATCTTAGCGTCCTTTACCTGCTCGGCTTTCAGGCGGGCGTGGGGTCTTAGCTAGAAAGGGAAAGGCCTTCCTTGGTCGTCTGGAAAGTGGCCGGCTCTGAGCTGTTTAAAAACTCAGACCTACGAACGGGGTCGTGGGAAAGGGAACCTTAGAGGGGGGCGATGGGACAAGGGGTTTGCAGTGATCTCCGTGTCAGGGACTGCAGCTAGCGGAGCTCTCGGAAGCTTCACAGGCTTCTTCTATGCCTGCCATTCATTGCCTCGTTTTCTGAACTGTGTCCGCGAGCCACACGCTTTGTTCGCACGGTACTCTCACATTGTCTGGAATCATGCAATGGGCGCGAACATTGTACGTCGTCACGGGATTCAATTGCGCTTGATTTCTCAGGGATTCGGGTGGGAAAACTGGGTTACTCAGGGGTTAGCCCGCTTAATTCCCGCGGATTGTGTGGGAAGGTCCTCAGTCCAAAATGACCTTGACTTTCTTCCCCCTCATAGTCCTTCCGTCTTAAGGCGGCTTCTTTCATCATCTGCCCAGTTTTTTACTTGACCGCCTCAGCTGTTGCGGGTCTCTCTCTCTCTCTCCCCCTCCCCCCTCCCTCCCTCCCTCCCTCTCTCACACACACACACTCCGGAACTCCCAAAGGGGAACGAGCTGGGAAGAAACTTTTGGTACCGGGCTTTGATTGGGGCAAAGAAGCCCGGGCAGTTGCTTTCATTCTGTCCGACCGCGGTCCGGCTTGCCAACCTCTCATACTCCCGGCGGCGGCAGCGGCGGCGGGGCTTTTCTCTCCAGCTACTGCAACGCGGTGCTTTCCAAAGCAAAAGCTGCTTCTGCGATCACACGGCCGGGAGCGAAAAGCGGCGCCTAGAAAGGCCGGGGGGGCGGGGGGGCGGAAGAGCCAACTCGCTGCAGCCTCTCGCGGAGAACTAACTTTTGCAGGCGCTTCTGCTCCTAAAGTTTGTAAAGACAGAGCGTGGCGCGCTGCAAAAGGAGCTTTTCCCGCAGGAAACGGAGCTAGCCAGGCCCGAAGTGGCTCAGGCTGGGCGGCAGTTTGAAAGGAGGAGAAAAAGATACCCCGGAAAAGTTGCAGCTTAAGGGAGAGATGCGCGGAGCCTCTTTGAAACCAGTGGCTCTTTCCCCCGAGTTAGCGTGGCCAGATGGTCTCGGATAAGAAGCAGAGCGAGCCAAGCGCTTCTCCACCGAGTCCGGCCCTTGTTGAGTAGCGGCGCCCCTTCCTCTTTTTTTGCTCTTTGGAAGCTTGCCTCTGCCTTTACTGTCCTTTCAGGCGAACTTCGGCGCCCCCCAGCCTGCCCAAAATGCATTACGCGGGAGGGGTATGCCGAGATCCCGGCCACTTGCCAGAAAGCACGACCGCCAGCGTTAGTCCAAAAGGACCCCTCTTGCCCCGCTCAGTTGGTGGAGCTCCTGGAAGGGGGAAAGGGAGAAAAAAGCAAGAGCGGGTCGAGCTCAAGCAACCTCTCCCGGCACTTTATTTGTTCACAATACAAATTCTCCCTTTACTCTTGCTACGCCCCCCCCCCACCAATACCCCAAAGCCTCTGGAGGAAATACGGAGGTGTATTTGCAAAATGACCCACGCAAACCTTCCCCGGTCCTTGCCCACTTCGCTTTGTGGAATCCTAAGACATGTCCGGCAGGTTAGGATCAAGTACCTAAGAACAAGCGCAAAGGGGGCAATTTTGAACTGAGCGCGCGGGGAACAGCCTCTTAGAAAGCCTCCCTTCGTGCATTCTCAATCAAGTTCTCATCTGGTAATGTTAATTTTAATGATCCGAGATGCTTTCACCATTGCAAATATGTAGAAAAGGCTCTGCAGTTTTTCCCTGATCCCTCTTGACAATTTACAGTCAATTTACAGTCAATTTACTAGTGATAACTTTCTCTTTTCACCCACAAGTGGTTGGACGCTCGCTAAACATTTAGATCTTTATTTAGATCTTTTCTCACCAACCTGCCGTCCAACAAATTCCTCCAATTCCTTTCACCCCAAAGTAATTAGCCCTCAAGCTTTGGAAGAGAGCAGGAAGCCGTGTCGCTTGGGCAGGGCCAGAAGGTGCCTGCGTTGACAGGTGTGAGCCGCGACCAATGGGCTGCTCCAGAGCACAGCTCCGGCCACCAATCGGGTCCGCCCTCCCGGCAGACCAATGGGATCCCCGCCTGAATCTTCAAGGCCTCCGAACGGGCAGCTGAGGTGTCTCAGAGGCTCGTGGGGCGATCGAGAGCGGCTGCCGCGCATCTTCGGTTGGGAAACGCGGAGCTGACGACCCGTTTGTATCAGGAGCGCCAGGGCTGCGGGGACCAGCGCCGGATCTTCGCCCTCTGGGCTGCCGAGCCGTGCGTCGCGATGACCACCTGCACCTTGTGAGCCGGCGAAGCGCCCGGCGTGAGCGGAGCCGATGGAGAAGTCCAAGAATTTCCGTATCGACGCGCTGCTGGCGGTGGATTCTCCGAAGGCAGCGGCAGCCTCGACGGCTCAGACCTCTCCGCTGGCCTTGGTCACCTCTCTGTCCGGAGGGCCCGGTAACAACAGCAGCAGTTCCAGCTCCAGCTGCAGCCCTCCGTCCTCGGCCGAGGGCCACACGAGCGCATCATCCGAGTGCCTGCGGACGGAGAGCCCATCGCCGCCCCGTATCCTCGGCGCGCACTGCGGCTTGGTGCCCAAGCCCGGCTTCCTGACGGGTGGCGCGGCCGCAGGTGGTCCCCATCAGCACCCGCACGCCCACCCACACGCCGCTCTGGGGCTCCAAGGCGGCGCGGGGCTGCACCCCCAGGCGGCCCTTTACGGGCACCCCATGTACGGGTACCCGGCGGCGGCGGCCGCCCTGGCCTCTCAGCACACTGCCCTCTCCTATTCCTACTCCCAGGTGCAGCCTTCGCACCCGGCTGCCGACTCCATCAAGCTCGGCGCCGGCACCTTCCAACTGGACCAGTGGCTGCGGGCCTCCACCGCCGGGATGATCTTGCCCAAAATGCCCGACTTTAACTGTGAGTATGGTGCGAGGGCTCAGGGGAACCCCCAGTCCCTCTGGCCGGTGCTGTGTGCCTCGGCGGGCTTCCCCGGGGCTGGGCTGGGCTGGGCTGGGCGAGTGAGACTGCTGGGAACTGTAGTCTTCCCAACGGATTTGGGGAGCCGACCCCTCTTGGCCTTAGGTATATCCTCCTCCCTTATAAGGGGGCCCCTCCGCCGGAATCTGGAAAAAAAAAAAGTCCCGCATGCCAAGGATTTTGCTGGCAATGCTGGATGCCTCGCGCTTGTTGCGGGGGGGGGGGGGTTGTACGCGGAAGGGACATTTTTGCCCAGCGCGCGTGCATCAGTTCCTCTACTGAGCAGCCTGGGGCTGTGTTCTAAAACCCCTAATGCCCTGCCTGGCCTGGCCTCTCTCCTGCCGCTCCCACCTTCGCCAGAGCTCCCTGCCGGCTCGTTCGCGGGGGGGGGGGGGGAAATGGGGTGTGTGAATCACGCCTCACTCCGCACCCCCCCACACACACCTTCAATTGTTTGCCTTCCACGTGGGCTGGGCTGCCGTTTTCATCGGCGTGATGGGAGATGTAGTCGTCGTCGTCCCCCAGCCTGGGGAGGGGCACGGATTGCGACGGCAGGGAATGATGGGGGTTGTGGTGGGAGAAGTGGACTCGGTGAGGTTTCCGACCGAGGCCGAAAGGCAAATTTGTCCCCTAAAAGCTGCTTGTACAGCAATGACCAAGAAAGAGACAAATGGAAACTCAGGGATGATTATTAGCGAGACCCCTTCCTTCTCCCACCTACACCCAGGAGGAGGGCAGAGGAGGGGGAGAGAGGATTCAGTTAGCATCGGGGTTTTGATCTCTTGACTAGGCACTTCCGAGAGGATTGCTACCTATTCGACCATGACAACCACTAGCCTGGTGGTCAAACGATTTTTCTTCGGTGAGCGCGCCGTGGAACCGGAGATACAACGAAGAGCTGCAATTGGGCTGGATTCGGAAAGGCGGATTTCTGTAGTAAACGTTGGCAGCCCAGGTTTAAATCAGTCAATTACAGATTTCTTTTCCTAAAACTAATATATCCAAGATAACACGTATTAATTTCGCAATTAATTCTTTTTCTCTGTACTGTACTGTATATAGAGCTAGGTGGGAGTGAGGCCTCCTTTGCTTTTCTTGATATCTCTGTAAAAAAAATTATAAATATAGATTTCCCGAGGAGCCTCCTTCCTGACATATTTTAATTGTGCTGAAAAATCCCCAGCAGGTAAGGATAATTCCCCCAGATTATCCCTATCTTTATAAATGGGAGACGGCGTGGGTGGGTGGGGGATTAAAGGAGTTGGCAGGTTTTCTACCCATCTGGCCCAGAGCTCCGTGGAAATCTTGGAAGGCTTAAAGATAATGTTTAAAATATCATAAGCATAAAAATGTTTCTTCTAATTAAAATCTAGATTTAGAAGTCTTTTTTACTCTTATTTTTTTTAAACTCTTCAATCGGTTAGCAGGAGGCAAGGATGTTAATAAAGGACCAATTCACTTCACCCTGAATTCAGCGATGGCTGAAATCTATTTTGAACGAAACCGGTGGGCCTTAAGTCGGGCAAGAAATACGCTCGCTTCGATCCCACTTAAGAGTGTAAGATTCGAATCTAAGATTCGACTCTCGGCAGCTGTTCCCATGGGCGAAACGTCCATTTTCAAAAATGAAAATATATATATATATATATTTTAAAGCTTTATCGACCCTCCTCACGATTAATGCCAATGACTCTCTGGAGGCAAAACTCAGAGGCGTTTTCTTATTTCAAAGCGCCTTTCGAGGTCGCTGGACCGCCGCTGAATTCTCTGCTTCTTCGTTCCCCCTGAAAAAAATGCAGAGGGACCGGCGAACGGAATCTGCCCCACCGCTTGCCTTTTGCTAGCCGAGCCTTTCCTTGGCAAGCTCCGCACGGGTCTTTCCCGCTCTTCCCCCTTAGGAATTAGTGGAAAAGCGGCTCCGATTTCCCCGCCAGCTCTCCGGGTCCCTTCGCCTCGGATGACAGAGAGGCTCGCCGAGGAACCAACCTCCAGCGCGGGCTCTGAGAAGAGAGTCACAATTCCTGCTCGCGAGGAAGCCGCGAAGGGACGAAGCTCGGGAGAGGAGGGTGCGCCTCCTTCAGCCTTCACTCGCTCTCCAAAGAGAGGATCGGGGAGGTGGCGAGGTTGGGAGGGGTTTCCGGGCGGGGCAGTGGCCGAGATGGTGCTGCTGTACGCGGAGAGAACTGCCTAAACAGGCGGATCTGGGAAGGTCGCTGGTTTGATTTACCCCTCTTGCGTGGGGAGGGGGCACTATTTTATTGACCCCTTCCCCTCCTGGGGAAGGCACTTAGCCTTCCCTCCCCCGCCCCGAAGAGAAAGGAATCCGGAAAGCTGGAGAGGAATTTGGAGTTGATTTTGATTTACGCCATGATTCAGAGCGACCAATTTGATTTGATTCCTCTTCTACAGCTTCCAGCTCGGGTCCTCTTCTCCGGAACTCCATTTAGAAAGTCCAATTTCCTTCTTTCGAATCTAGGCGATCCACCCTAAATCCTTTTAGGGATCCATAGGATTTGCAGCAATAATCTCTCTTGGGCGACCACTACATCATCTAGACTGCAGGCGCAACATCCAGTCTGCAGAGAGACGAAAGCGCTCCCTTCCTTTCCTTCTAACGGCGATCCAGATTTTCGCCAGTTCCTCCTCTAACCCAGCCCGCCTTCGCCGCCTCGCCTGAAGCGCAAGGCAGTCCCGCGCACCTTCAGCGGGAAGCTGTTCCCCATGTGCGCGTATGGGGCTGGCTAGTGAGGCCTCACTGGACGGTCCCAGACCCCGGTGCTCCTTGGCGAAAAGGTTAATTTGGAGACGACCGGAGACCTCTGTTTGTGTGTCGGGGAGTGTCCTTTTCCAAGTAGGAAAAGTTTACCGATAAAACCTCCTTCTTTCCCATATCAAAAAACTGGGCACGAATTTGATGCCAATGGATGGATGGCGGAACTCTCATGAGCCGGGGTAGGGAGAGGAGGAAGGATACACAGCATCGGGATAAGCAATCTGCAGGCAAGGCAGCCCGCCGTGTGAATCTGAAGCCTCGCTAGATTCCACAGCTCTCTTGGCCTTGGTTTAAATAGCAACACCTTCAAGTGCCCCGAGTTTGGCGCGGCCTCAAAGGCGAAGCCGCTGCCCCGAGGACGTTACAATCAAAATGCGACGGTCAGAGCGGGAAAAATAGTCCTCTTAAGTCAGTTTAGGATTGGGGCAACCTTAAAGAATTCTTCGTTGTACAGAATAGATTTTCGCCCAGCTGGTTTTTTCCCTATCCAATTTTCGGCTCCTCTGTTACCTCTCTGCCGCCGCAGAAGCGGGGATGCAGCGCCCTCTAACGGCGCAGCGCTTCTCCGCCTGCCGCGACTCACGCCCCCTTTTGGTTTCTGATCTTCTCCCGCAGCCCAAGCGCAGTCCAACCTTTTGGGTAAATGCCGACGGCCTCGCACCGCGTTCACCAGCCAGCAGCTGCTGGAGTTGGAGCACCAGTTCAAGCTCAACAAGTACCTGTCCCGGCCGAAGCGCTTCGAAGTGGCCACGTCGCTCATGCTCACCGAGACGCAGGTGAGCGCATCGGAGGGGCGGGGGTGTTGGGAAGGGGCGTCACTTCCCAGGTAGCTCAGCACCCTTCGCGTGGTAGGCAGCTTTTGGAGGAAGTTTGAATCCATCCTCGGGGCATTGTGAGGGACCACGCAAGGACTTCCCCAATCTCTGGTTCAGCGTTGGAAATGAGAAAGGAAACCATGCTTTTCATTCACAACAATCAAACAATTTCTTGAAAACAAAACCCTTAAAAGATATGGTTGCTGAGCCATTGGTTTCAATAGTCAAAATAAAAAGTGGAGATAACCCTTATAGTAATATAGAAGTTGGCCGAAATTAGGAGGCGGCGGCTTAAATAGACACAATGGTCTTGAGAGGACAGGGACGTCTGTTTACATAAGTTTTGTGTGTTTAGCAAAAAGAGCACAGGATGAATCAGAAGAGTGACATAAAATTTATCAGTTGAAAACTTCATTAGTTTGCCTTGTGCAAGGCAGATTTCAAAATCCTCCGAGTTTTGATGGCGAACTTCAAACTAGAAGGTACCAGTAGGGGAGGCAACTTTAAGGAGCAACTCTCAGCATAAGCAGATACAAGCTACAGCATAAATATCCCATGAGGTGGTACGTTTATAAGAAGGTTATCTGACTGGCATCATGGAAGGAGCCAAGGACCTCAACCCAAGCCTTTCCTTCCAAGTTTATCAGGATAATTAAACTATCCATTATTAACCTCAATAACCTTAAACTATCCATGATTGACCTCGCCCCTTTCGTAAGAGGTCTGTAAGGAGCGTGCATAAGTACACCACCTGCATAAGTACACCATTGTGCCTCCCGTCCCTGTCCTATTGTCCCCATTTATTCGTACTTATTTCCTGTATTCTTACTCATGTTTATACGTATACCTTTTGTCTTGTAAGCAATTGACAAATCAAATAAGCTTTTTAAAGAACATAAGATCCTTTCACTTGTTTCTTTCTCCTTTGCAAACTTTCCAAAAGCTGAAATCTCATTTCCGGTTCTGGGATGTTCAGATGGTATGTGAACATAACTGCCAATCTCTGATTAATTAAACATGCCTGGATTTAGCTTTCTTGCTGGGCAGTCTTTCCATAGCTGATTTCTTTAAATGTTCACACCCAATTTCCCGCTTTCTGCCTTCCCACCATAAAATCCATTCTAAACAAGATAAGCAAGCAGAACATGACTAAAGTGAGACAGGATGGAGTGGAAGGAAAATAGACAGGAAACACATCTGGACTGCTGTGTGCATTTAAAAAATGGAAAGGAGAGCATAGGTGTTACATTTCAATCCTTGGGGGAAAGTGGAATCTAAACAGAGAGAAGAAAGGGCAAAGTATTTGATTTAAGTTCTGGAGAATAAATTGCTTAAACACGTTTGATAGAGAATGCACACACATACAAAGGAGGAACTTCATATCTGCCTTATAGGGGAGATCCCATTTTTCTGTCATATGATTTACAAACTTTAGAGCAGGAAACTGTATATTTCAGGATACTGCTGGCCATCAAATTCTATCAGCTACAGCCAACATCTCAACTTGTAGTGACTTCAGTAATTGGTTTCAGTAATTGGTTTTACTTCAGTAATTAGCATTTGCAAAACTGGGCTCACAAATTTCAGTAAATCATCCTCCAACCTAGCAGGATGTGTGAATTGAGGCATTTTCCTTTCTAATTCATGTTTGTAGCTAGTTCCAACTGAAGAGAAGATCTATAGCTTAGGGTTGAGTAGTAGAATTCTTGCTGTTTTCTGAGTTTGGTTGTTTGTTTGGAGACATTTCAGGTAATATCATCATCATCAATAACTGGCTTAAAGAAAACCAAGGATTCCACACTTATTAATATAAATCAAGTAACAACACCTTGTTTAAGAAACCCAAGTGAAAACAACTATGGTTTAGGGCAAGGCACAGATCCCGAGACGATCCCATCCAATGCTTGGCATCCAATTAGGCTTGGTTTGATTTTTCTCTTTTTTAAATGTTTTCCTTGGTCAAATTTTGATTGCAAATCTAGAACTGGTTCAACTAGTGCACAGAACGGCTGCACCAAAGTCAAACTGATGGTACGTATGTAGTAAAGTTGTAAGGCAAATGCTGCTATTGAGCTCTCCTCACTTTGAATGCAAGTATTGTACCCAAGCCAGAGTAGCTCCATAGCAAGGTAGCAGAAGGCAAATAAATTTAACAAATAAATAATGAAACAAAACATCAATGGGCAAATTATCATTCCACTCCTGGTGGACCCATGTGATGCCAGCCTAAACCAAACCAGGCTATTAAGAGATCCTAGCCACTACGGTTACTCATTCAGCCAAACCATGTCTTTAATGATGTGAGCCCAGTCTGTTTCCCCTCCTTTCTGTAGGTGAAGATCTGGTTTCAGAACCGACGCATGAAGTGGAAACGGAGCAAGAAGGCCAAGGAACAGGCAGTCCAAGAAGCTGAGAAACAGAAGGGTGGAAATGCTGAGCAAAACAAGGGGGCAGAGGAGGGGCAGCTGTTGCTAGGGGGTGCTGAGAAGAGCAATGTGGGTCGCAGCCTGCGGGGACTCAGAGATAGTGAGCCAGAAGAAGAAGAGGAGGAGGAGGAGGAGGAAGAGGAGGAGGTGGAGGAGGAAGAGCAACACTCTAGGCATTGCTGTACCTGCACCTCCCCTGACTGCTCTGATAAGGATGATGGTGGGAGGCAACCCCAGATCAGACATGGTGGGGGCAACCCAGAGCTGCCCCAGCCTCAGACTCCTTAAACCTTGATAGGGCTTGTAGTCCAACGCATTTGGAGAGCGCCAGCCAAGGCAGGGCGCCTCCAAACTTAATAGTTTTTCAGTTATGCACTGATTCCCAAGCAGCTATGCCCTAACCTTTCCCAAATTCTGGCCCACAATCTGTCCCAGGAAGAATCAACTTCTCTCAAATTAAAGATTATTATATGGGTGAGTGGTAGGATGAATGCAACTGACCTGTGACTTTGGGCGTCGATTGGCTAGCCCTCCAATATCCTTTTGGTGTCTTTCAATGGACACTGAAGCGACCTCAGTTTTCAGTGTCTAATGGGAAGATTAAGGTGCCAGTTCTGTTATGTATACCCTGATGTAACCTTCAGACTTCTCACTAACCTTTCAGCTTGCCAGCCACAGCCAATGGTCATAAAGAATTCAATGACCTGGTCATTGAAAATGCCACTGCTGTGCTCTCCCATGTTCCAATGCTTATTTTCCCCCCTTCCACATTAATTCTATCAATAATGGTAGACATAAAGCATCATTTAAAGACTGAATCACAAGGTCAGAAAATGGCACTTGAAACTTATTTTCCCTTCTGAGGTTTGGTGTTCTTCAACTGCTGTGAGAATGTTGTTGTTTATTCTACAACAATCAAGCTAAGAATGTTACACAATGATGGTTGGAACCACTCAGAATCTTAGGAGGGCTTTATTATCTTTATTTTTATATACTGTATTTATATTAAAAAAAAAAAATAATGTCCGCTTATGCATGCTAAATTATTAATCTCCCACTGTCTTCATTACATTTAAAATAAACAGTTTTATACATAATCTGTGAAAGTTTACTAATTCAAAATAACTGGGTTTGTGCCTTTTCCACCAAGGTAGATCATTAACTTGGCCAATTCCTTTCCATAATTTCATAAAAAGGAAGAATTAGGAGGATAATATATCTTGTTTCAAAAGGGGTGTGGTGGCTCAGTGGCTAAGACGCTAAGCTTGTCGATAAGAAAGGTTGGTGGTTTGAATTCCTAGCACCACATGATGGAGTTGAGCTCCCATTACTTGTCCCAGCTTCTGCCAACCTAGCAGTTCAAAAGCATGTAAAAAAATGCAAGTAGAAAAATAGGGACCATCTTGGTGGGAAGGTAACAGCGTTCCGTGCGTCTTTGGCATTTAGTCATGCCGGCCACATGACCACGGCGACGTCTTCGGACAGTGCTGGCTCTCCGGCTTTATAACGGAGATGAGCACTGCCCCCTAGAGTTGGGAACAACTAGCATGTATGTGCAAGGAGAACCTTTCTATCTTGTTTCATTATTGGGAAAGAAACTATGGTGAGAAAAATGTAATTCCCAGTAAGATGTAGTATCAACACCCAATCACCTTCCATTGATTCTACCATTAAATAGATTTGGAACTAAACCAAATTAGACGTTTCACTTCCCTCAAAAATGTAGGTCAGAGAAATGGCCAGAAACAAATGTGATCCTTGAAGGAGAAAAGCATGGCGGGCAACCTCAAGAAGATATGCAGTTCATTTATTTTATTACATTTTTTTATGATTGCCCATTCCAAAAGAATATTCTGGCAACTCAAGGGTTCTCCTGATTATAGCTCATCCAAGAAGCTTCTTCAGAGCTGAAGAAGCTTGTTGGAGGAGAAGCAAAACGTCTTCAAAGAAAAACCAGAAAGTCCAGTTGCCTCTTGAAAAAGCACCTTTGAGACAACCATGACCTGGATGACTGAGAATCTCCATGGACATTATAGCTTGTAGTTCCATTTTGACTTTGTGTGTGTTCTTCTCTTCCTCAGTCCACTCCCTTGACTTGAAGGAAGCAACTGTTAGTGGCCAAGTGGGAAAATTAAAGGCCAGGCCTCTGAAAATCTTGTCTGCTGGAAACGAGAGAGAGCAAGACTTTCTGACAGATTAACTGAGTGGGAATACTGAAAAAAACATATTTCAAAAGCGAAGGAACAGACTCTTGAGAGGCTGCTGCCTGATTCAGAAGAAAGTGCTAAGGGGACTAATCAGGCGTATGCTCCAATCAACACAGATTAAATAATTTAAACCAAAATAACCCAAGGGGACTGGTCTGCCCCACTTGCAGGCAGAGTGGAATGGGTCTGCAATGGACCCCATCAGCTATGGAATTCCATGTGGCAGGATCAAGAAGTCTCTTTCATTGTGATCCCCATCCTGTGGAACATTCTACCACTGGGGATGAGAACTGTTGCAACTTCCGGCTTTCCAGAAGGGCATTATAACCGGGGTTTTGCCAGTTGGCTTAAGTGCCCAGGGAAGCAATATCCCCTGTTGGATGGGGTAAGAAAATCTCATCCCTGTGGCATCAGTCTCCTTGTTTTAGTTTCTTATGTATTTCTTCTTTTGAATTGTTCTCATACTCATCTATTTAATGTTTTATGCCTTTTTAAAAAAATAATGTCTATCAGTCTCCCACGGTCCGGATTGGTAAGATGGGCAGAATATAAATTAAATAAATAAATAAGTAGAATAAAATAAGCCAGTATAAATGTGGATTTGGGCTGTCCCAGGAAAACAGAGCTAGATTTAAAGGAAAGGTTTCCCTTTCTCTTACTTTACAAAGTTAGTAGAAAAAAAAATTTCTACATTTGCAAAGAGGTGGGTAATATTTAAGTCAATTGAACTCATAGGGTCTTGCCTTCTATCAGGTTGTGCTCTCAGTCAACAGTGTATTTAAAAGAATAAACAGAATTACTTTCAAATATCAACATTTATATCAGATTCTTTAATCATAACCCTCGATACTCTTAGATAAATTGAAACGAATTTGCTTCCTTGTCCTAATGACACCAGTTAAAAACTTGCCACTCCTAGAACAACTGGATTCCAAGGAAGACAATTTAACATAAAATTGATTAGATGATCCAGGAAAGAATATTCCCAAATAACGGAGAAGTATCTGTCCCATTGCTTCTATGAAATGATTATTAGAAACCAACAGGCTCTAAGTATTTAGATGACCCCTATAAAGGATGAATATAAATAGAATAGAATAGAATTCTTTATTGGCCAAGTGTGATTGGACTTTGTCTCCGGTGCATAAGCTCTCAGTGTACATACAAGCAACAAGAGATAAATCATCAATATATTCATCAAATATAATCATTATGGATCATAAGATACAACACTTAATGATAGTTGTAGGATGCTATATAAAAGCAATCCACTGAAATCATAACAGGATTACAAAGTAAAAGCAATCCATCATAAGATACAAACAACAAAGTTATGGTCATAGGATGCTAAAGGAATAGGTAATAGGAAAGATGAAAAAGATAATAGTGATACAGTCCTACTACATGGTTTGATAACCCATCTTGAAAAGAAATGGCAAAGTAGCCTCTATTGTGACAAGAAATTAAACATAACTTATCCCTACTTAAAAAAAAAAAAAAACTTTTGAATTTACATAACGGGTCTGTCTTCCTTTCTCCCCCATCTTCCCAATGTAAAAAATCCCGCATCACTTTAGCTACTCCATGCATCTGGTGAACTGCAACTCATGAACACGTTCATTTAATAAAATGTCTTAGTTAAAAATTGCTGGATTCTTAAACCTTTGATTACTTGAAAACTTCCAAGAATGTCTCAATAATATAACTCTTGGCACCCCAGAATCCTAAGGCAAACCAAAGATCATTTTCTGAGTCTTATTTTAATAGACAGATTAAAATTTATTTTCTGTAACAGAGCACCTAATTTTAAAAAAATGGGAAAAATTCCTACCAAGCAGCCTTCTTTAACACTTTCGCTTTCTAAATCTTTCCATACCTTACCAGGTGTTTCCAGAATGAAGGAACTAAACCAACAACTCCCAGCCTGGCCCATGGTGAACCTGCTTGAGAAAAGTGTAAAGAGAGATTTATTTGGCTTGTGGGTGTGTGAACTATGTGGGGAAGAAAGGGTCATCTAGAGGTTGTGTTGATAGAGGAAAATGAGTCCTTTTCCTGGGGAATGTGTTCTTCCTTAGCAGTTACAAAAAAAGCCAGGAAACATTATTTTCATTACCAAATCTTACAATTCAGTGGCAGAGGGGATCCTGAGAAATTTGATTTATCCATGGTGGGCAATGGAATCTGGATTGGCAAGTTAATGGGTAGATTTATGTGTCATCCTAAAACCATAGTTTATCTGTGTTTAGTAAACTGTACTTGGCTAGATTTGCAAAAAAAAAAAAAAACAGAAAATCTACTGACTGTATTTACACAACCCATTTCCCCTTACTTAATTTAAAAGTGGTTAGCTGGCCCAGTTTTGTGAATTTACATAGCAACCCGTAACATTTTCACACAGCATGCCAAGGAAATATAGGAAAGGCTGACTGACATTTAATAGAATCTGTAACACAGATATTAATCTGTTTCTGAGCGCCTATCCTATACTTTTACCCCTTATCACTAGTTGCTAAAAAAATAAAAGGCAGCAATAGAATTTTAGACAACACAGCTTAACTGCAACATTTAATAGGGAATAAAAGGTGTTGTATATGCATAATGATTTGTTGAAGTTTGTGATTTTGCGAATCAGGTGAACTATACCAACACTTGGCAGGATATTGTAAGTAAGTAAAGCATAATTGATCAGTATGGTCTATTCTGTTATTCCACTTCTGCCACAGAGAAGTTTGTACCTTAATGTGATGTCTAAATGAGAGGGAAATCACCATTTTTGTTTTATGAAAAATGGCAATTTCTAACCAAGACTGTCTATTTGTGCTTTCTCAATTACGGATCTTGAAATGTGAATGTAGCCTATTGTGAGAGGGGGAAAAAATCTCCCTTTTCTATTCCTACACTACGAAGTGACCAGATGATTTTCCAGAACTGCCTTTAATATCCAAGATGCGGAAATTTACGGTGTCTAGAACACTTCTAGAAATTCCTAAGCAGCCAGCAGATAATAATGAGAAATTCTGGGACCTACAGTTCAGCAATGTTATGTGTGTGTGTATGCACGTACGTGCGCTAAATGACAGGCTCTTCACCTCTTCTGCTTCAGTTCTTTGATTTGCAATAAACTGCAGAGAATTGTCTGAGAAACATCATTGACACCCTCAGTTTACTCAAGGGTTAATGCCTGATGTGTATACCTTCCCACCTGGGCCTATTCATTTCCCTTTCACATTTGCTTAAGGGACACTTAACCTGCAACTGCCTTTGCTTATGGTGCAACCAGACAAAGGGGGAGGAGGGCTTTCCTGTGTTCAGGAGGGACTCCCCATCCATAAACAGAGCGCCTTGATTTACCACCAAAACGCCATTTATTTTGGTTTACTCAGCTGGAGGGGAATAAAGGTCCTTATCTTGATACAGCCCCAGCTGGGCCCTAAAGGCAGCTTTCTGCCAGCTAACACTGCAAACAAGGCCCCCGCCAGGAAAAAATCTCTCTCTCTCTCTCTCTCTCTCTCCCACGGGGTCAGAGGGGCTATCCTTGGGGCCAAGTGGAGTTGAAAGAGCCATTAAATAAAGCTGTGTCCAACCTACTGTCTTCAGATATCTTGGAGCTCTAATTCCTGGGTGACTGGCAATTTAGGAAATGTAGGTCCTGGAGCATTCTAAAAAATGGCCTTATTTTATTTCTATTCCTGTTTTGTTTGTGTGTGTGTGTGTGTGTATGGAGTGTATGTGCATGTACGCTTTCTGGTCCTACAGACTTTGGGGAATCTGAGTTTTATCTGACAAATCTACACTTATTTCAAATTATTGAGCTACCTGAGATCAACATCTGATCCCTGCAGCCATATAGTATTTTTGGCAGCATTACCGAATTGATCTGTAAGAGAACACAAGGCCCGTCCACCTCACAAGGGAGAATTACTAGTACAAATAAGTTATAGTAGTAAGATGAATCAGTAATATAAACATTATGTATTATTTTTATTAAAGTATGACATTCTCATTTACTGTATGTAGAAAGTACATCTTTAAATTATACAGAATGGTAATTTAGCAAAACAGTAGGGGATTTGAGCTTCTGCATTAAAACAAGATACAAATTTACTAACAGAATAAAATGGGATGAGATATATAAAATTAACTTAGACATGATTACTATTTATTATGTATAAATCCCACTCAATGCTCCAAGTGTAGCTTTAAAAGAAAGTAAAATATCAAGGTACATTTGAAATAAAACTTCATTTTTTGCCCAAACTCCCAATGTTCATTTGTGATTTTGTCTTGTCTAAAAGCCCTGATTATTTAAAAAGTATTTATATGTGCATATATTTCTAAATATATGCATATAAATCTGAATATAAAACCTTAGCTAGTTCCATGTTTTTGTGAAGTTACATACAACAATGACATTTGTAGATCATATGACACATTACCCAAATATTTTCTCTACTTTTCATAAGGGAAACTCTATAGTATGTTCTTGCTATTATAATTTCACTTTCGATTCTTTTGCTTTCAGCGTTTGAGTTACAAGATCAATTTTCTCTTTTAGCAAAGCACCTTCTTTAATATCTGGGTGAGCTTGAGTATTTTTCATCAAGAAATGTGTAAGAAAAAGCTTCAAGCCTTCATGTAGCATCCCCATCTTGGGATTGTCAGCCAACCTGGAAAATAAGAAAACCATGTTTTAAACGGTTTGTATTTTCTTTTAGACAATGATAAGGCATCATAGTAGCTAAGGTACAGGGATAGACTGTGAGTTCAAGTCCTGCCTCAGCCATGAAAGCCAGCTGGGCCAGACACTCTCGCTCTCTCAGCCCAAACCACCTCACAGGGTGAGGAAAACAGGAGGAAGAAGGTGTGTTGGATATGTTTGCTGCCTTGAGTTATTTGTAAACATAATAAAGGTGGGATATACATAAATAAAATATGTAATAATAAAAAGCAATAAACTAGTGCTAGATTCACAGGTTCATTTAGTGATCGTTCAGAGTTGCAACGGTATTGAAAAAATGGACGTATAACTGTTTTTCACACTTATGACTGTTGTAGCTTCCCCATGGTCACATAATCAAAATTCAGATGCTTCAACTGGTTCATATTTATGACGGTGGCAGTGTCTCCCAAGATCGTGTGATCACCTTTTGCGGACTTTGTCGGACAAAGTCAGTGGGGAAACCAGAGCCACTTAACAACTGTTACTAACAACTGCAGTAATTCACTTTAACTGGAGCAAGAAAGGTCGTTAAATGGGGCAAAATCCAATTAAAAAATGTCTCATTTAACAACAGAAATTTTGGGCTCAACTGTGGTCATAAGCCGAAGACTACTTGTATCAGATGAACAAGATTTATACAGGTAGTCCTTTCCATTTTTTTTTTGGCCACAATTGTTAAGTGAATCATCAGTCATTAAGCAAATCCGCCCCGCCCCCCCGACTTGTTAGTTGAAAGCCTGCTGGGAAGGTGGCAAATGGCAATCATGTGACCCTTTGATCATGTGTTTGTGGGAGGATGCTGTAATGGTTTTAAATCTGAAGACATAAGTCATAAGGCTTTTTCTTTCAGTGCCAGTGTAGTTTTGCACAGTTGCCATGGTGGCACAGTGGTTGGAGTGCAGTACTGCAGGCTACCTCTGCTGACTGCTGGCTGCCTTCCATTTGGCAGTTCAATGCTCACCAGGCTCAAGGTTGACTCAGCCTTCCATCCTTCCGAGGTGAGTAAAATGAGGACCCAGATTGTTGGGGGCAATAGGCTGACTCTGCGAACCGCTTAGAGAGGGCTAGAACGCATTGTGAAGCGGTATATAAGTCTAAGTGCTCTTGCCATTACCAAGCAGAAGAGGCTACCTGTGTCACTAATTTTATGGCTTGGTTGGTTAAGCTACTTAATACTTCCATCTGGGCTCAGCAGAAGTACTGAGATACTGTGTAAACATTTGGTGCAAGGTGCACCAGGACTATTAATTTAAAAGCAAACTAACAAACAAATTCCCTTTTCCAATTATAAAAATGGCCCAGAACTCCTACTCAAGAAGACTTACTTTTCAAACATATGGTTGAGAACTTCTTGTTCCGTTTCTAGGAATAATGCAGACAACACCTGTCGCAGAAAGTTAACTTTTGGCTTATCTAAGTCACTGAATTCAATCACCTAATTCAAAAGAAAGGGAAGATCAGATCAAAGCAAATCCTCTCATTAGGCCTGTTTGTGCTTCAAAAACGATCTGGATGACAGCTTTGCACGACGACAAGGCCTCTCTGCTGGTGTCTAAATCGGCCTGGTTCCTCCGAGGTTCAGCAAAGACGGTGCTGTGCTTGCATGAGGGCCAAAACATTATTTCAAAATTCATTTTTAAAGTGTGCATACTCCCACTGTCAACTTACCACATATTTTTCAAAATACTATCACTTAGCGTGATATACTGAACATCTACTGTACATTAACGGAAAAGAAAAGTCAGCAGTATTTCCCTAAGCTGGCTTCGATTGCTTGAACTTATAGCAAGAGTTTAATGTCCAATCATGACAGCCATTTACTTAAACCTTAAAGTTATTACACCCTATTAGTCAGTGCAGTTAGTCCTTGACTTATGACCACAAATGGGACTGGAATCTCAGTTGTTGAGAAAAGCGGTCTTTAAGCAAGATATCATTGTGACTGCTTTGCTCGTGGACCACAATCCTGGAACTCCTGACTGCGGTTCTTAAATGAAGATCTCACTCATTATTTATTGATGAAGTTTGTAGACAACCCATTTTATCTCAAGGTAAACTATGGGCAGCTTTCAATCATAAAGAATAAAAACTAAACAAACTAAAAACGTAAATAAGTTAATATGAAATCCAAACATGGAGACTCAATTAAAAGACGGGGAGGACAGGAGCGAGGGAGGGAGGGAGGGGAGATCTGTTGTTAATCGATTGATCACCTCCACTGGGGTGGTCTCCCATTGGAGCTCCAAGCTAACTGGCAGAGGCAGCTCTTTAGGCTCTTACGGAAGGCCAGGAGGGTTGTTCCACAGGGCAGGAGCAACGAAAGAGCAGGCCCATCTACTACCAGCTGGAATGACCAGGATGTTAATGAAAAGAGTCCTATGTAAGGTGTAAAGCTCAGTGGGGTGGGGGAGACTGTAGGAGGCCTGGTGTCAACTAAAAAGATGATCATGATACGATGATCTGGACTGTAATAGGCTTATTTTACAGGGTCGATCCCACCATGGTCATACCCTGTGGTCATAGGGGGCCAAACCCATTATGAGGTGCAGCGAATTCTCGATTCGAGGTGGTACAGGTGACAACTCCAATATTTAATCAAGTGGAAGGGCTACCTTTTATCAGAGGCATCTTGGGTAAAGAGTAGGAACGCCCAAGCTGATTGCCTTGTGACGAGGTTCCATGCAGAAAACCCAACCAAACCTGGGCGGAGGTGTTTTTTTTCCACAACCCTGAGTTCTATACCTGTAATAAATCTGTTTTCTTTTTGTGTTGTACAGGTCTCCTTCAGGAAGCGAGGGGAGCTGAATGTCAACTAAAAAAGATACTCCTTTGGTCTTTTTAGCTGCCAGAAAAAGGGAGTGGGGGAAAATAAGGCATTCCTTAAATGCCTAGATAATCATCCCAGCAGCCCAAAGTTGTCAGAGCGTAAAGTTATTGGAGAGCATAATGGATGACTCTTGGAGATGGATGTGTCCCATTGGAGAAGTCACATCCAGGGGGTGGGGTGGGGGGGAAGACCAGGGTCAAAGGGGAAATATATGATGTAATTTAGAACTGGCTGCACCCAGCTCAACTCCAACATGGCCACTTTTAATAAGTCTATTTTCTTTTCTGAGATGCGGCTAGAGACTTATGGTTTGAATGGGGGTGGATTTGTTGGAGCCCTGACATCTGGCACAAGCCCCACATGCCTCTCTACTCAGGGGAAAAATCCTTCCTGACCAAATCCAAGCAGAGCTTGCAGGTGGCATGCGCCAGGCCTCCCAGGGCACCCGGCACCCCATGTCTTACCACGACCTCTCTGCTCTGGTACTGAAAATCCTTCTTTTTAAATCCAAGTACCCCAATCATTTACATGGTGTGATTGCTGAAAAGTGAGGGAATCTGCTAGAATAAGTTTGAAACAGAACCTGGAATGGTGCTTTACAGGCTATACGAAGCTCTCCCTTTTGAGTCTGTTGTAACTTTAAATGGTTATTAAGCAACTGGTCATAAGTTAAGGACTACATGCAAAATGAAAACTAGCACACACAAAAAAAGTATATGTTGATGTTTCTCCTTTGAGATTTAACGTGTCACATATTCTGCCTTGACAGGAGGAATTGCAAACAAAACCACACATGCGCTATGCATGAGCCTGAGAGCTGGAAACAGTTTTTTTAAAAAAAATAACTTCATTTACCTTGAATACAGTAAGAGAGAGCCATTTAGTCTTTAGCAGGTGAGTCACAAGTTTAACTAAGTTGCAGAAAGCAGTGGTGGACAGGCTTCCTAAATCTCTGATTTTGTCCCAAATACTGAACTGGAATGTGATCTAATTCACAAAATAAAAAGCAGAAAGCATTATAATAAAACAGTGTTTCAACACGTCCCCTAAGAGCACATCTAGAAGGATGTGTTGGACTAAAAGACCTCCAAGGCTCCTTCAAACTCTGTTATTCTGTTATCTTCTATTTCACAGTTAAGCTGACATGCTGAAGGTTGCCGAAGATTGACAGCCACAGAAAGAAATCTTTTTTGAGGAAAGTCAAGACCTTCCAGCCACCGTGAGATCAATGAGCCGCCATTGTTTCCGAGTACAAATCAAGGTGCTGATGATTATAGATAAAACCCTTCATGCACAGGGCCTGGATATGTGGAGGACTGCCTCTCTCCCAATGTTTGCAATAACATCTCACAGGTTTTGGGTGCTCCAAGTCCCATCAAGGAAAGAATGCCAGCTTATGGGACCCAGCAGGCATGCCTTCTCTCTTGATAGCATGCCCCATGGAACATTATCCCTTCTGAGGCTTCTATGGACCTGATCCAGTGGTGGGATTAAAAAAAATTACTACTGGTTCTGTGTGCGTGGCTTGGTTGGTGTGGCAGGGGAAGGATACTGCAAAATCTCCGTTCCCTCCTCACCCCACTAACCTGCTTTCCAGCTCCATTCTCCTGTGCAGGGCAACAAAAGAAGATCCAGAGAATCAGCTGTGACTCGGGAGGCAGAAAATAGATGGGGGCGGGGCCAGTCAGAGATGGTATTTGCCGGTTCTCTGATCTACTCAACATTTCCGCTACCGGTTCTCCAGAACTGGTTAGAACCTGCTGAATACTATCTCTGACCTGATCCTGTCAGCTTTCAGGAGCTTAACACCTCAGCTGCCTCTGGTTTAGATTTATATGTAGTCCTGTCATGCACTAGCAATGGTGTAATACTGTAGATCTAATTTGGTCCTCCCAACATTTAAATGTTTTAAAGATGGTTTTAATTATCTGCAAGCTACCCAGAATCACCAATAAGTGTCTGGCTCTAAAAACCAAATAAATAAAACAAATGAATCACAGCACAGGAGAGATCTCTTCATTTCCAAGCGCTTTTCCTTCTTGCCAGAACTACCTACTATAATATTAGGAGACGGCTATTTCTTTTAGAGGAGAAAGGATTCAGCTACATCGGGGGGGACGGGGGGGGGGACGAAATCGGCTTGGTAGCGCTCCCGAGTCTCAAATTTTACTCTGTTTTTCAGAAGGCTGAAACAGAGGTGAGAACACAACCTGGCCTTTGGTCTTTCCTTCCTTTAAAATATATTTAGGATTCTGAGAGTTGAGATTTGGGGTGAAGGGGAAGACAGGACCCTTCTAAAATTAGTCTGAAACCTCCAGCTGCAGAGATGCTGAGCTCTTTCGCACACAAAGTATTGTGCAGCTCAGCTCTGTAGCCTTTTCACATCAGGGTCTCCTTTTGGACAGGGGGAGATTTACAGTCAAGTGTAAGCATTTAATGCTTTTCTTTGCTTCCACAAACTCATGGCCTAAAATAAGTATCTTTCGAAGCCGTAGGTTTATTATTTGATAATATCCTTTTTATTCTCAGAATGTCAACTGTGTAACCGGCAAAAAAAATAAAACAAGCTTTGCACTCACCTGAAATCGCTTTTCGTATTCACAGAACTTGGCGGATAAATATGCGTAGAAGGGATTGTAAGTCTTCTCTTGCAGGCAACAATCTAGGAGGATATGGGCTATCTCTCTCTCCTGTTGGTCTTTAAGCTTAAGCCTAATGAATAAATTGTCATAATGAAAATCCTGTTTTCTAAACTTTTTATACCAAAACATTCTAAAGGTACTTTTGCCAGCCTAACAACTATTATGATTAGTCCCTTCTAGGACAATTTAGATCAGAGGTCTCCAAGCTTGGCAACTTTGAGGCTTGTGGACTTCAATTCTGGGAAGTTGCCAAGTTTGGAGAGCCCTGGTTTAGATCAATCTAGTATCACACTTCATCACACTTGGCAACTTTTAAGATGTGTAGCTTTTAGTTCTCAGAATTTCTCAACTAGTATTTAGAGAATTCTGGGAACTGAAGTCGGCAGATTTTAAAGTTAAAGTCCACACATCTTAAAGTCGCCTAGTTTGAAAAACCCCGACGTATCACTCATCTGTGAAATATTTCTATTTTATTCTTCTCTATTTGGGTAATTTTTGATGTGTTGGATTTCATCTTCCATCAGGAAGTCCTCCAATTGAGGAAGGTTTTTGTATATATGCTTAAAAATGTATTTCTGAAGTTTGTCTAGAAATGGGTGCAAAGTTCATAATATTTTAATTGAAGAAAGAATGCAACGGTTATAGGAAAAAGTCCAACTTGCATTCATATTTAAATACCCCGGCAATCAAAAGAACTGAAAAAAAAAGCTCCCTTTAATTTCCAGATTAATAATAATCTATCTGAATACAGAAAAAAGAAGAAGTTACTAGTGGCAGTTATCAAGGAGAAACTACCTTCCAAGTTTTTCTAATTCCTAATTGAGGGTGTTAGGAATCTCAATCCAACTAATGATATAAATATAATCAGCATTAATGAGACCTCACTGGCTGCCTCAGCAAAAAGTCTGGCAGGAATGAATCATATTTCTTCTTGAGCTGGACCACAAAAGAAAATCAGGAGCAATTGGCAGGAAAGAGTCTTAACTTGGGCAGTACCTGTTCTGTCCAAAGAAGCCTGATTTAGCCTTCCTGTCAAAGACTTGGCAGTACTAAAATCAATTAAAATGAAAAATGCTTCATACTACAATGCAGAGCGTAAGATGCAGAAATACTTGCCTCATTTAATTATTTTTTACTGCAATGAACTACCAGATTCTTTTATTGGAACGTAAGTGCTTCACTTTATACTAAGCTATGTTTCAGTTAGATCAACCAAGCAAAACTTCCAATTTAGAACAAATAATGCCATAGAAAATTCCCTGGGAGAACGTCAGCCAAAAAGATCAAAGAAATGCAATTAACTTCTAAAGATGCTGAAAGTATATAGAAATAGATGCACAATTGTGCCAAAAATCTCAATATATAAATATATATGCAGCTAGTATTTTATGTCTTTTATTGCTAAACTAAATATTACCAAAGCTATTTGGTCAGTGGCTTAAGTTATCTGTAGCTGAAGACTCAATTTCTTTATACAGCAGATACTTCACAGTTTTTACACAATAACACGTATAACAATACTTTTGCCTCTTAATCTGTAGAATCCCTAGGCACATTTGTGTGTATTTCTTAACCATAAGCAAGTCCTCACATATGAATATCAAAATTGGCCTAGTTGACCTAAAGAGAGTTTAGCTTAGCCGTTCTCAGGAGAAAACTCAGATTTCAGTCTTGCCTAAGCTTGGAGCTAATCTGTCGTTAGCGATCACTCCTTGGTCTCTTATTCTGTTTCTTTGCCTCAAGCAGAAGAAATCCTCTTTTTTCTATCTCTTGCAGCCACTATGGTGGTAGATTTTGTTCGTGTTTCTGTAAATATCTTCAATTGCCCTGATAAGTACAGACTTACTTCAAAAGTTTTTCAAAGGCATCCAAAAAATCTTCACTTGTCATCAAGATGCAAAATATATTTCTCCTGATATCAGTATTCATTCTTTGCTTACAAGCGAGTTTCAGAATCTTTGAGTTTACCTGAAGGGTTAAGAAGGAAATATTATGTAAATTATTAACATTTTAGTTTTTAAAATCATGTCTTCAATACTTTAGGCAAATAAAGAGCAGAAACAAATTTAACAGTGAGGCTGATGTGGTATTAGCTTCTCTCAAGCCATGTATTACGTAGTAAAGTAGGTCTAGACAGGAGTTTTTGAAAAGTTTTTGTATGCCGGTAATGGTGTTTCTAGCCAGATTTATTTACTTATTTGTAAAATTTATATGGCTGTCTAAATCATAGTGAGAGTTTACATATATTTAATTGTATTTAATTGCAGATTATTGTTGACTATTGTGTGGTCACTGAATAATAAGTCCAGCTACTTGCTGTTCAGCATTTAGATTTGAAAGGAAAGCTAATAGGAAGATTGAAAAAAAAAAAGTGGTGGGCATTAAAAATAGGAAGACTCCACTCATTCTTCCAACTAGGTAAGAATGCAGTATTTTGTACATCAGTCACCACTGAAAACAATTTGGAACATATCGATTTCCAAGGAACACCATCATATTCCTTCGTGTTAATTAAAAAAAAAACCTTAGTAGAAGAAAAAAAGCATAATGTGTTGAAAAACTATTTAAACTGTACTACTAGAAAAATATTAGGGTACCATTACCTTTCCCACAGGTAGTATTTGTTCAGTTTTGTTGTTTGTGCTGTCAATCATTGGAGCACCACTCCAAGAGGACCCAACAATCCACCAACGACCAACCTGATCAGCTCTGAGGAGAGATTCCAATGACACACGAAGCTGAGATTCTTTTCCGGAACTACTATTGTGTGTCTGTAGGGAAAAAAAAGTGTGTTTATACCAACACTTTTCTTTTCTTAAAATATATATTTATATTGCAAGATTGGTCTGTATGATTACTGTTTATCTTTCCCATATTCAGATGAAACCAAAAGTTCAAGATTGTATTTTATTTGACCCTGGGATATTTTTAAATAAATAACAAAACTATCAGTCAATTCAGTTCCTGCAAACTTAATTCTATTTTGCTACAGTTTTATATTAATAGATTCAAAATCTTCATTATATTAGCAGATCTTAATGTTTAAATCCTATTGAAAATACCGTACAGATTTTTAAAAAGGAACAAATATTTATTCTATTTTACCAATGTTCTCAGTAGTTTTCGTAATTTTTCAGTGGGTTCTGGGTCATAACCAGGAATTTTCCTCATGTCATTGTTTTTTAGCGCCGACATAATCTCCAGCATAAAGCAAACCTTTGAAAAATATAACAGTCCTGCATTATTATTCAAAACATGATTCTTTTTCAATACAGATATGAAAAAGAAACCGCAGCTAAGCCACTTATTTCATACTGAACTCCACAACTCATATTAAAACTTTCCCAATAAAATAAAACATTTCGCTGAGTTTCTTCTCCAGCCAATATTAATTTGTTAATTTTAAAAAGTACTATTTAGTAGGGGATTTACATCTGTAAAAAAATATAGCATTCCTGGGGTGAGTTCAGTTCCTGATGACTGCACGGAAGTTACATTTTACAGGGTTTGGAGGGATGTTTTTTATTACTCAGAACATGCTTAAGCTTAGGCTTTTTTTTCACAGTATAATCACTAAGGATTATTATTTTTAAGTAAGTCAATGTCTTTTTGATGCAGTCTTCAAGTAAAAAAAAGACTAAGTCTTCAAATAAAAAAAAGACTAACAACACTGCTCCACTTTAGCAAATCTGTTGGGAAAAGGCCTGAAATTACAAAAATGCTAAGTATTTACAATAAGATTTTATGATATTTTACACTTCCACCCACATCATACAAATAAGGTCATTCATGTTATCACCATCTGTGCTACTAAAAGGAGAAATATGATCTCCAATTTCTGTCTACTTTCTGAAAGATGACTTCATCTTGCTACTACTGGTCTCCCTACACACTTTGATGACAAAGAGGTACAGTTTAATGTTTAATCACAGATAGGAAATAAACCTCTTCATGTGGTGTCTCAGGAAGTACACACTGCATTTTTCCCCCAATATAAACGCATGAAACTTCTGCCAAATTCTCCTCTTAATAAGAATGCTTTAAAATAGTATTTCTTAACCTTGGCAACTTTAAGATATGTGGATGTCAACCTCCAGAATTCCCAGCCAGCAAGTTGGCTGGAGAATTCTGGGAATTGAAGTCCATATAACTTAGAGCTGCTAAGGCTGAAGAAATACTGCTCTAAGAACTTGTTTTTAAAAAATTCATTCATACCCTTGACTGGTCCTGGAATTGTTTCCCCATTGCATTTGCTTTTTTCTGGACCTCATTGATAAGTTCCCTTAGTCCTATGGCATCTTCCTTCCTCAGGGAAAAGCCCACGTTCTTCAGCAGCACCAAGATCAGTTCAATGTCCTTTCCAGAAAAAGTGCTAACAAGCTTCTTTAAGATGTCAAAGATCAGCACTGAATGCACTACATAAAAATTATATAAATTAGCAATTAAAATCAGCAAGTTCTCGCATTCTTTCCCTTCGGCTTCGCTTTTGTAGACATCATCAAATTTCCTCACCACAGTTTCCAGAAAATGAGCACCAACCTGGAATAGATTTACATACATTGAAATATAAAAAAGACAGTTAAAGCATTGACTGGTTATCTCTTTATTTTGAAAAGTAAAACCTAATAATATACATAACTAGTGTTGTGGCCATAAATTGCTAACCAGCTAACCAGAAAAAGGCATTATCTTCAGCTTTGTAAAATTTATTAAAAATTATAGTGCTAATTACGATGTATATCAATAAAGGAGAATATTTGTAGCTCAGGGTTGAAATGAGGGGGCCTTTTTTGCTCTCCGAATTTGGTGTTTTCTTGCAGGCTTTTATTACTCAAATTAGGTAACATCACCAGTGTCGCCATCTACTCTATTCAAATTTTTAGGATTTGCATAGATATGTTATTAAATATCGCACTACTCTATCATTGCATAATTAAGTCTATGTTTTTTAACTTGGAATGCCTAACAGGAAAATATTGATGAATTCAGGAAAGTGGGCGCAATACAACTCTTACCACAAATGTTTTTTTTTCAAATATATATAAGACTATCAGAGAGGTAAGAGTACACATATATACAAAAAGCTCTTTAAATTAAACTTCTCTCACTATATATCTGCCACTGGAGCAGTTAAAAATATAGTCAAATGGTGGAATATCATTTTGTTAGATATTCCAATATTGGGAATACAATCTTAGAAATTAGTGTCAAAGCTGTTCTGATGAGTAAATTATTGCTAACATAATATAATAAAGGCTAAGGCTAGGAATTACAGAAATAGGAAAAAGTGATTTTTCTATCAATATGAAAAATCTTCACCGTTTCATGGTAACATTTGTTGCTTCAATAATTATTTCTTGTAAGCATTTTTTCTTGTACATTCTGCCATTCTACTAACAGTTACATTTGAACGAGACTTTAATGTTTCAAAACAGGTACCAAGGTATTATAAAATTACTGGAACATAATTAGTGCCCAATAATGAATTTTACAGGTAGTCCTCAACTTACTATCATTCGTTTAGTGTCTGTTCAAAGTTACAACGGAACAGAAATAAGAGACTTATGATCATTTTTTACGCTTACAAACATAGCGGCATTCCCATGGCCACGTGATTAAAATTCAGATGCTTGGCAACTGGATCATATTTATGATTATTGCAGTGTCCTGGGGTTATGTGATCACTCTTTGTAACTTTTTGACAAGCAAAGTAAATGGGGAAACCAGATTCACTTAACAACCTGTTACTAACTTAACAACTGCAATATTTGACAACTATGGCAAGAAAAGTCATAAAAATGGAGCAAAACTGACAAAGAACTATGAAGAAAAGTTACCTCGATTCCCACAGTCTGATGAAGAACACCAACCAAAAGAACATGCTCCAACAAGAGTCGGGATGGCACTGCTGATTCCATAACACAAGCACCAATAAGAATATCTGTTAATGTTTCATTCATATCTTTTCTACTGTTTGTCATATACAGTTCTTCCAACTGCCCACTGATGGAGGCTAGATTTGATTCACTCAACCTAGTAGGAAGCAATCACATAAGCAAGAGTAAAATTGAAACCTGTATTTTCATATTACCATTAGCAGTCCTATTAAGTACTTCCTGGAGAAATTTGCATCCTTTTGGAGGGTTGTTGAAGCACTTGGAGGTTTATCTGTGTCCTCAGGGTCACCTGAGTTGTGCTCCTGGTTCCTGAGTCTGCAATTTTTCTTCTGGAAATCCATTCTTACTCTCACACCATTCAAAGGGTGTTCATCCCATTGAATGGTATGGGAGTAGGAATGGATTTCCACAGGAAAAAGTCCAAGACTACAGGAACCATTAGCACTACTCAGGTGACCCTGATGACACAGATACACCTCCAAGTGCTTCAAAACCCTCTAAAAGGATGCAGATGACCAGCTGTCTGCAAGGAATATAAATCCTTCCATTCCCCAGCATCCTGTCAGAGCTGAAGAATGAGAAGCGAAACATCTTCAAAGAAAAAACAAGTTGCCTCCTGAAAAAGCACCTTTGGGATAACCATGACCTGGATGACTGAGAATCTGTACAGACTTCCTGGAGAAAGTTTATCTATATAGTCGCTAAGAATCATCTCTGACTTGAAGGCACTTAATCAATCAAAGTACATAAGCATACATTGCATGGCATTGCTGCAAATTAGACTTAAGGATATAGCTAAGTTTATATTCTTTAATGCTTTTAAAGGAATTTTGAATTTTGGAATTTTGAAGCTTGTAAATTGTAGGAGCTCCACGGAGAGAGAGAGAGAGGAACAGTATTCTTTGTGGATTATTTCTTCTTACTTTTTCTTAAAGGAAGGTTCTGGTTGAACATTAGGAGAAAAATATTTTGAACTGTAAGAGAAACTTGAAAGAGAAGCAGTTACCTAGAAAGATGGTGAGTAGGATGTCTTAAAGCAAAAGGTAGAGAGTGTTCGGATTTATTTTGGATTTTTGTCCTGACTAGGAAATTGGATTCTATGGATCTTTACAACTCTATGATTTTAAGCCAGCTCTGATGAGCTAAAGAAGGAGCGAAAACAAATCAGAGTTGTGCAAATGAGATGGAATCTCTATTCTTTCATTGAGTCTGGAAATTACCTATTAATCAGACCTTTCACTGTTTTCTTTAGTCTTTCCAATTCTTCTTTCTTTTTGGAATCTACTGGCTCTTCGGAAATTCGCATTTGAGGAGGAACATACTTTACAGCAACTTGGTTAGGATTCTATATAAAAAAAGACAAACTTGTTTTATTAAACAAATTAATGATTAGCGATGAAAATGCATCTTTCTTGTATGTTATCAGCAATGAGAATGTTAGTGCACAAACCACTCTTCCGCAATAACTGATATCATGACAAAACAGCACTCCTGGATCTCGAACTAACAAAGGCAACCATGAGAAATGCACCTCTCACAATGTGTGTGACTAAACAGGTAGTTGGGCCACTGAGTCCAACTGGACTCCTTGTCCATTTTACTCAAGAGTTATTTATTATTGATTCTGCCTTTTCAAAAATATATACCTCAAGGCAGGAAAAGGACCTAACACTCCCATCCTGTATCTTTCCCTCATAACTTCTCTGTAAGATAAATTGGGCTGAATGTGTGTGTCTGATTCTAAGTCACCCAGCTGCTTTCATGCCTAAAGGAGGACTAAAACTCTCCTGGTTTTAGGGCCAGCCACACAATCACTGCACTAAACTGGCTCTCTGCTTTGCCATTTGGGGGGCTTTCAACAGCCACTGCACCACTTCACCTCAGGCCTCCTCCATGCTTGGCAGCTCTGTTTTTCAACATTAAGATCTGCGGGTTTGAACACCGAGAATCCCCCAGCCAGCCCGGTAGCCTCTTGGCTGGACTCCCCTTCTTCGCTTTCGCTTCCTTCCTCCGGGCTGAAATCCCCGGAGCTTCCGTCCTCAACCGGGCTCAGGCCTTCTTCTTCTTCTTCTTCGCTCCCGCTTCCTTCACCCTCTCCCGCCACGCCATTCTCGTAGAGGCCCGAGAAAGCGGCCTCGGACTTCAGCGCTCCCAGCACGTAATCCAGCCCGTCCCGAGAGAAGCTTTGGGGCAAGGAGGATGAGGAGGATGCCGCCGCCGCTTCCCCCTCCTGGCCGCCTCCCCCTCGCTGCTTCTTGCGGCGCTTGTGGAGCCCCAGTTGCCGCTCCAGGCGGCGGATCTCCCGCTGCTCCGCCTCGTTGGCTGCCAGCAAGGCTCTTTTGCGAGTCGCGGCCGTAGCGGAGGGAGCTGCCCGGGGCTGCTGGGCCCGCGGCTGAAGTTCGGGTGGCGGCGGCGGCGGCTTCTCCTCTTCCACTTCTTCTTCTTGTTCTTCTCGATCTTCTTCCAGCGGCGGCGGGATCCCCTTCCTAACGGGGCCTGCCCGTGAGGGGAGCAGCCTCTTCGCTTCCCCGCTGACGATCGTGAGCCGCTTCCGCCGCCCTCGCTTCAGCTTGCGCTTCTCTCGCCTCATGTCCCGTCGACTCCGGCGCCCGTTCCAAGCCGGCTGCTGAAGGGACCCGGAGGAGCCGCTGCCACTGCCGTCGCCCTCGGGCCCCGCCGCGGCCTCCACGAACCCCTTCACCGACAGCCCCAGTTTGTGGAACTTCCCGATCGGCGGCTGCTTCTTCGGCGGAGGCCGCCTCCCTCCGCCTCTCCTCCTGCCGGACTGGCTGCTCTCAGCCATCGAAGAGGAACAGATCTCCAGCTTCATAGCCCAGGCCGCGATCGCCTCCGTTACTTGTCACACGTCGCCGCGGCTCATGGGCGCTGCCATCTTGGGAGTCCCCCACGGGAGAGGCGGGGCTTAGGCCTCGTGAAAAAGCCAATTCGGCGCCTTCTCAATGAACGCTGGGAAATGTAGTTCGGAAGGCTTCGAGGGGGGGCTGAACTACAGGTTCACAACCTCTTCTTTGCTCATGGCATCCTCCTGAGCCTTATGTATCGTTGTGACTCCTCCCCCTTTAGAAATAGACATAAAGGTCCTTTACAATCTGCTATAGAATAGAATAGAATAGAATAGAATAGAATAGAATAGAATAGAATAGAATAGAATTCTTTATTGGCCAAGTGTGACTGGACACACAAGGAATTTGTCTTGGTGCAAATGCTCTCAGTGTACATAACAAGAAAAGATACATTCGTCAAGAATCATCAGGTACAACACTTAATGATAGTCATAGGGTACAAAAAGCAATCAAATCATACTAGGAAACAGTCAATATAAATCATAAGGATACAAGCAACAAGGTTACAGTCATACAGTCACAAGTGGGAGGAGATGGGTGAAAGGAAGGATGGGAAGATTAACAGTAATAGTAGTGCAGACTTTGTAAATAGTTGGACAGTGTTAAGGGAATTATTTGTTTAGCAGAGTGATGTCGTTTGGAGGAAAAACTGTCCTTGTGTCTAGTTCTGGTGTGCAGTGCTCTATAGTGTCGTTTTGAGGGAAGGAGTTGAAACAGTTTTTGTCCGGGATGTGAGGGGTCTGTAAATATTTTCACAGCCCTCTTTTTGACTCGTGCAGTATACAGGTCCTCGATGGAAGGCAGGTGGGTAGTAATGGTTTTTTCTGCAGTCCTAATTATCCTCTGAAGTCTGTGTCTGTCCTGTTGGGTTGCAGAACCAAACCAGACAGTTATAGAGGTGCAGATGATATTGATGTATCTAAAATAATGTTTCTCATCCTTGGAGACTTTTAAGATGCATGAACTTTAACACTCAGAATTCCCCAGCCAGCATGACTGACCGGCCAAAACTATATCATATAAAGATTAGGGAGCTGAAGTCCATATAGCTTAAAAGTCTCCAAGATTGACAAACCCTGGTCTAAACTACTGTATTAAAAACTAGAAAAGTGGGATGCTCCCCTTGAGAACCCCTGAATTACACTAATTCCTTAGGCAGATGCTCCCAATAATCTTTAGGAAGTGATTAGAAATTTAGCCATGAAGGCTGCCAACCAGTCAAGCATGTGAACTTCAACGGGTTCCTATCATCTAAGAGTTCAGACAGAGGCACCAAGAGCATCAGCATTTAGTATAAGATTCCAAGACGTCCTTAATTTTTTGCCATTTACTTGTTTAAACATTTATATTGTTGTCCCAAAAATACCATTTCCCCCCTTCCTCCTACTTCATAATACAAGGAATGTTATGGTCTCAGGCACTCCATGGCCTCCTGTGGCCTCTAAAGTTATGGTGAGAAGTTATATGGAGTCCTTGAATTGTTCAGCACCTGAATTGTTCTGTATAGCTCAGTGCAGAAGATTTATTTAGTAATCAAACATCCACACTGTCCATCTTACTATTTAAGTGACTCTGACCAGTTTTACACATACAAGCCATAAAACCCATATGAAGATAGACAAATTTAAAAAGATAAAGTTAAGCTAAGATGGAGAGAGCACCTTCAAACCACCAATCACCTCCAGGGTTACTTACCACTATCGAATTCCCATGCTAGTTGACAGACTCAAGTTTTAACACTCTGTTCCAGGAATCCAAGTTGAAATGATAACTGTGACAGCAATCCTAAAATTATTCAGAAATTACTAAAATAACAGTTTGGTTAAAATCGATAGTAGACTCAAGTGATGGAGCCAGGGGTGGGATCTGAGCGGTGTAACTATCGGTTCAGTGATTTTACATTTTTCGTGCATGTGTTTATTGCCATCACCTAGCTGCCTGGAAAGCTGAGCAGCGTGGGTGCAAAGCAGGAAAAAAAGTGCTTTTTCAACCTCAACTTTTTCAACCACAGCTTTTTCAACGTGTCACACAAAGCAGCTGCAGTTGAAAAGGCAGGAAATAAAGGTCAGGTAAGAGCCCCGGTGGGCGGGTGGGCCAAAACAGCAGCAGACATAGAACTGGTTCTCTGTATGCTCTCTGTTTGCTGCTCTTCAGAGCAACTGGTTCTACAGAGGCAGACAGGACTGGTAGAATCCCACCCTTGGATGGAGCCCATCTCCAAAGATAGGAGTTATTTACTGGGAGAGGTAGAGTTTCTGCTTTGCTCTACACTTCCTTAGCAAAGTTCTGCATCCAGTATTCTTCGTGATTAAGTCATGGCAGCTGTATAATCAATTAATCAATCAATCAACCCTTGTTCGGCATAGGCCAGCATAGCAACTGTGTAATTAATGGGCCCCATTCAAAAGGTTCTTAAAGTTGTGCAACCGTTTCAAAAAATTTTCCTGCTGCCGTTGCACTTAGGCCAAATCTCCAGGTTGAAGATTTCCATATTTTGTAAAAATAGGCTAGTTGTTAGTCAACGGGTAGTTTCAGGAAAGACCTCTTGAATTTGTAAACTGTCCTGTTTGGTATTAGAATGGGATATTCAGGTAGTCCTCAACCTACAACAATTCATTTAGTTACAAGTTCAAGGTTACAACGGCATTGAAAAAGGTGACTTACATTCCTTATGCTCATGTGATCAAAATTCAGACATTTAGCAACTGATTCATATTTATGACCGTTGCGATGTCCTGGGCTCATGTGATAGCCTTTTGTGACTTTCTGACAAGCTGCAGTGATTCACTTAGCAACTGTGGCAAGAAAGGTCGTAAAATGGGGCAAAACTCACGTAACAAATATCTCGGTTAGCTACAGAAATTTCGGGCTCAGTTGTGGTTGTAAATCAAAGACTACCTAGCTGTACATTCTTTACCGCTTCTATTTTCTGCCTTCTGTAAGAGGCAGCCATAGAGGAAAGAAAAGCTGCTCCTACTGTAACAGATTGGAAAATCTCTGGAATTTTGAAGCTTGTAAATTGTAGGAGCTCCACGGAGAGAGAGAGAGAGGAACAGAGTTATAATAAGGGAAGAAGTCTAATTAAATCAGGTATTTGGGGAGCACATGGGATTGGCCCATCCCACTTGCCGTAGGATAAGAGGCTATGGACTCCTGTCTGTCCAGTAACTTGGGCTGGAGGGGTCCAGGAAAAGAACCTTTGAAATATTGTCTACACTAGGGACGGCTGATGGAGTCAAGAGAAAACCCTAACCTGATGCTTCCTGTCCTCTTCATTTTTAGTTTCTATTTAATACCTGTCCGTTTTGTTTACATATTTACCTTTTTATCGATGCCCAGAATGACTTCCATGAGATTGGCGGCATATACATTTAATAAATAAATAAATAATATGCAGAGCTATTGAAACATTCCAGAGCTCAGCTCCTTGGTGATCAAGGTATCAGTGGTGTGATTCAACAGGTGCAACAACCAGTTCAGTGAATGCACGTGCTCTATATTTGGCTCAGTGGCTAAGACGCTGAGCTTGTCGATCAGAAAGGTCGGCAGTTTGACGGTTCGAATCCCTAGCGCCATGTAATGGAGTGAGCTCCCGTTACTTGCCCCAGCTCCTGCCAATCTAGCAGTTCCAAAGCATGTAAAAAAAATGGAAGTAGAAAAATAGGGACCACTTTGTTGGGAAGGTAATAGCGTTCCATGCACCTTCAGCATTTAGTCATGCCAGCCACATGACCATGGAGATATGTCTTCAGACATCGCTGGCTCTTCGGCTTGTAATGGAGATGATTGCCGCCCCCTAGAGCTGGAAACAACTAGCACATATGTGCGAGGGGAATCTTTAACTTTACCTTTTACTTACCTTCTACTGCAGCCCCTGGGAGTAAAACAGCTGAGGCGTGGCAAACTACTCTGCCGTGCAAATCAGCTGTGCTAAAAAACTAGGAAATAAAGCACAGGAAAGAGAGGGGCGGGTGGGCAGGGCCAAATGTTCACTGGGACTACCGCTTCTCCCAAACCAGTCTGAACTGGTAGAATCCCACCTCTGCAAGACATCAAATTAAGCCCTAACGTTTGCATTGCAACAACTCAAATCATGTAAACTGGCTTTATGGGGCTTTGCATTCTCATATGCTTGAGCTCTCTGGAGAGACTGGGAGGATAACCAAGTTTCCTTCCTTTCTTGCTCTGATTTTGACCTCCAAGATAATGGCCTAAAGGTAAAATGGAAACAGAATCCTGTCTAGCCAGCTTTCAGTCATCAGGCTGATAATTGCCAACAAGGTTCTAATTGCCAGCTGTCTTATTTGCATCTACGATAGTCCTGAGCCCCGAGTGGACGCAGTGTTCTCGGGCTTATGTCCCAAAGCTGTCATTTCTTGTCCTTCTGAACACTGAATGTTTGTATCCTGCTCTGGCTGCAAAACTTTAATAACTCATTAATTTTTAGAAGATGGTTTGTTAGCATCTGTGCCTTTCTCCTTTTTCAGTCATTACATCATGTATCTGAGGTGGCAGGCGCACTGAACAAATAGCTTTTCAGTTCCAAGACCAAATCCTTTATACCTAATGAATATTTCTCATTTATTGGCACAAAAGGTTCTGCTGATCTTTCAAAGTATTCAGACATCGTATTTATAACTTTTTTTTTTTTAGAGCACTTTCCCTCATACAGAATTCCCTACACCTATATGGAAGCCGCCATCCCAGGAAAATACGCAGCTCTTTTGGAGAGTTACATATGGTGCGGTTTGCTTCTTTCCTTGCTATACACCCCGTTTTAGGGATTTGAATCCAGAGCACTACCTTGCATTTGCTAGGTTGGCAGGAGCTGTGACAAAAATGGGAGCTCATACCATCGCATGGTGCTTGGGTCTCGAATCTGGGCTGCTAGCTTTCCATCACTGAGCCACTCTGCCATCCTAGTCGGTAATAGCTGAATAAAATCTACAGGGACTACCTTTAATTTACTTGGCATTTTAAAAGATTTATGATACCCATTGTTTGTGTATCAGCTTCAAATTAATTTCTGATCATCCAAGAGGATCGGGCAGAGT